GCGGATGTTCATAGATATCCTTCCAGAAGGATTCGATCTAGTCAGTGGTCGGCGGATTATCCACAACACGTGGATGCTCTTGAAATAAGCGAGAAGGTTTCTCACGGAACCTAAGGTTTTCCGCGATACTTCTCGCTCGCCTCACTAGTGACTTCCTAACAGCCACTAGCATTCGTATCCTATCAAGGCAGTACTGTTTCGTAGTCAGCAGCACGCCTTGACTCAAAGTGTGATGATACATCATAGTTTGGCGGCTATTTGCCACACTGCGGGCGTGAAAGGCCTGTTAACCGCCTTGTAATCTCACACACAATGGATAGGAGACGCGTGTTGTCTCGCCGATGTGATCTTAGCCTCCATCTGGTGTACACGCCGTTTAATCTTCCGAATCGCAAAGCCGGGATTTCGTCCATACGATTCGGAAAGCGATTGGAGGACGCTATACAGCGGTGTTAATTTGCCAGATGTCAACCTCTTCTGTTAGAAAACTTCAGAGGCCAAATTTTGTGGAGCGCTCTGCGTGTTCTGCTGATTGACTCCATTAGTGGCATGATGCGAGTTTCTTTTCCAGCCGTGCCAACAGGTGATAGAACTGTCACTTCTACCACTTCGTTAGCAGGCTGGGAACCCCGTATTCCTTGATAACCAGGAACCAAGTCTTGAGTCTACCGGGTGGTTAACCCTATGGACCCACGGCCGGCACCAGAAGGAGAATAGTGTTCTCCTTCCCGGGTGCACCTGGGCTGCCAGTCCGGGTTGCACCAGTTACTCAGGTAACACCAAAGGCCAAGGATGTTAGTGGCCATCCCTTCTTATTTATTAATATAATTGATATCATTATTATCAGTATCACCATTATCATCTCACGTCCGAACCATTTCAAATAAATCAGCATTTTGCAGAATTGCCTAGTTTTACCGGAGCAATACCTCCACCCGAAAAGCTATGTATGGAAGGACGAATAATGCCATTATCTTAACGGTTCGACCGGGAGGCATCACTCACCGCAATAACGAAAAGAAATGTCCCGAGCGCGCCTCCCGCCGGTCCTGGCCTAAGTCGATTATCACCCCCTAAATTTTTGCGTCAAACTTCCCACGTTGGCTGTGACAGTGTTTTATTCGGATTGCATGAATGGAAAACGTAATGCTGTGATGATACGTTTTTGGAAATAAGATAACTTCAAATATATTTCGTGAAGTGGTGAAATAGAGTAGATCTAAAGGTTATCTCACCTTACTTGTCCGAATGTGCGTGTCCAATACAAAAATGTAACCGCGAGCATGTTATGTAAAGGTACGTTTACATAGAGACGGGTTTTTAGCACTGTGGTAGACTGACTAGGACTAGGCTTAGCGTTTTTCGTCAACTACTCCTTTCCAGAATTCAAGTGGGAGTAGACTCATAGAGGGCGCATCAGTAGTTTATTCTCGAGATCGTTCGTTCATTGAACGTATACGGATTGAATGGAACGTATAATTTTCTCAAAATCAATTCTTGAGCATATACTGCTGCTACTCGTCCCGACGAACGTTTACGTTGTTCATTTCGACAGTGGAAAAAATATGACGAGGTGAATTTTAGTAACGTGTTAAATGATTCTAGAAATAGATTCTTGTTATTTTCAGCTTCTTGTATCAGAATTGTAAACAAGTAATTTTTGGTAATCTTATATTGTTTTTGAATGAGATTCATTTGTGTAGTATTTCGAGTGACAATGATTTATTTATTTCAATTGTGATTATGTGAGGTGTTAGGAAGAAACAGTTCATGTGTATGGAACAAAAAAACATTTCAGTCGAATTTATGTGTTCCTATTTCAATTCTATACAGCCCCACTCATCTCCGCACTCTTTTCTTGAATGCACATTTGTCTTTGTCTGCACACCCTTCACCCTCAGCTGAACCTCTGAAAAGACAAACTTTTTGACATACAAGAGTGAACAATTTTCGTGACTTTGGTTCGAACTGTTCGACATCCACTTAAAGAATGAGTCGGAGCGATCTTTTTTGAACGTATATTTTCATCGAAAATCGAATATAAAAGTACTAGAAAAATCCCACGATTGGGTGAAACCAACTTTCACAAAGCGATGGATTGAATGAGTAGAACGAACTACTCACGTTTACCCACGGGCTACCGAATTTGTTCAAAAAATTTGAAATCTGCTCAAAGATTATAACTCGGTGGCAATGAAAATATAAAGGATTCGTTTTTTTCATATTGTTGCACCATCCGCATCATAAATAAGAAAGAATTGATATTCAATACAAATGAATGCAGAGTAACATTATGAAATAAACACTAAAGGAACATACAAGCAGAGTGAACAGAAAGAAAACAATGATAAAAATAAAGCTGGGAAAAAATCATCATTTTCCTTTTAGTGCTGAAGTTGTTTCAGAAGATTATCGTGACTTATGAGCCATAATACATGGTGTACCCAATAAAATCGAACAAACTCTCGAATAAGGGAAAACCCGCAACATAGCCAGAAGTAAAATTCTGGCTGTTCTCCATCCAAAAGTATACTCACGAATATATTAAAAAACATCAACAAACACAATACATAAATGTTATATATTCCGGAATTTATAACATAAATGAACCATTTCTGCCAGTTCCACTCTATTCAGTGTGAATAAATTACATAAACTAAGACGATGGATAAAATAATGTATCAGAAATTATGTTATATATTCGTTAGTATATAATTTCATTTCTATGGTTAGATGTTGGGCTTGAATATTTAAATGATTCTAGATTCTAGATTAATTGAAAGAATATGGATTTCTTCTTCCACAGCGTAACATACGGTGGCATCTATGTTCGTAGTAAAATACAAATTATTTGAAGTTTCGAAGAAGATCACTGCAAACGTTATAGTGCACATGTCAAGTTCAACTTTTCATGAAGAGAGGGCAGGATGAACAAAATTTGGGCATGTAAGTCCTATGCCAGACGGCAGATGGCATTTCTAAAGAAATAATGATCATAGAAAAATATATAGAATCTAGAATTTAGTATGAATAAATTGCATACATCAAAGGAGAGGAGAATGTATAGACAAAAGGAATGTAATCAAATGTGGAATCCGGATGAAAGAATTGTGAAATAAATTTTTACCTGTCTCCTCTCTGACTTTGCGCCATGTTATGGGTGGCTCAGGTGGTTCGATTCTTTATAGATAGTACAGGGACAGGCATCGAAACAAAAAATGTTATTTCATACCCTTACATGCGTCATAATTTCATATATAAATTATATAATTCGTTAGATTCGCGTTTATAACGGTAAATTAGGTCACGCGTCTGTAGACAGCAGTCTCCTTACATCTACACTAAGCACTCGGCAGAATAGATGACATTTACTGAAAACAAAATTTAACCTATAACCTAACCAAAGTTATATTCAATTTATAAATTTTGATATGTGACATGTCTTACAAATTCTAGTTGCACTAGTTTAATTCAACTTCGACTAGGTAAGGTAATAGGTTGGTGTTTGTTTCATAAACAATCATATATAATGAATACATTTGCATGAGGGATGAGAGGATTGATGAATCCTCTGTTCTGGTTTCGACTGCGAGAATTTTCTAAATACTAAAAAAATGATCTACATCTTGACTTTTACTGTTGGTGATCATATATACTTCATATATACTGTAGATGGCGCAGCAGGGGCCTCAAAGTGCGTTATGGTTTATACAAGTGCAAATGTACGAAATTATTTCGGACTGTTTAAGATTTTTTGTTCTACGCATCATGTCCTGCGCAAGTTTCCAAATATTTTCGGATGTTAGAACCAGAAAAACCCTTATATCTGAGTCCTAAAACTTACAGTTTAGTTTGTGGACGTGTTCCGATTCTGTTGAGTCTTTTCGTGCTAAAGAGAGAACAAAACCTACTGACTAAAGGTATGAACAGTTTGACGGAGATCCATAAGGTTTATTCTGGTTCTACAAAATGCAGGCTCTAGGAAGTCAGGATCAAGCGCAGTTGATATAGTGCGTTCTGGTTTTTTGGGGATACATTCGGACTGATGAATCCTCTGTTCAGATTTCGACTGCGAAATGATCCGAAACGGTCCTGACCCATTATGCATTGTTCTTGCTCTAAAGGATGTACTGTGAACTGATGAGAACTGTTCTCGTTGCGCATGCGTATTTATGTGGACATTTGTTTGGGTTAGCGTCTAGGATATTTTTTATCGAGTATTTTCCTCAAAATATTTCAAGTAGGAAGAGGTACAATCATGAAGTGAAGAAGAATGTGTGACATTGAATAGGATAGAATGGATAAAGATCACAATTTGATTTTCTCGTAATCGTAAAATCCATTAATGTTTTGAATATGGACGTATTCAAATATCTTAGTACCGTTATGACGGAGCAGGGAGTGCCCTGATAAATAATTTTTTATGCGTTCTTACTATATTCTTAATATTGATATTAGGTAACGTCATGATCAATTGACATATTAACTGACACTAATGACGAATAAACAGAGAGGCCTACTCTAAAAAAACATGTGCTTCATATTTTGATATGATGATTGGGAAAACTATATCACGTTATGCCCTATCTGAACCAAGTGAATCAATTGATAATTGAGAGGAAGCAATTTAGTTCTCAAAATCAAAATTGAAGAACTTCCAAAGTTGCAGATTGAAAAGAAAGACTACGACAACAACATGAGAATCGTAGTATCGATGCTTTCATGGAAACATACACATTGACCATTTTCCTTGAGAGTATAATTGAGACAAAACTGAAACAGTGTTGAATAGGTTAATAAATTCCTTCTGCTGGAGGAAAACACAAAAAACTGTAATGATTTGTTAAAGCAGCTGACTGGAATTTGTTTCACCCTTCGACTTAGTTTTATTATTTCGGATAGATTCACAACTGAGCATTCCTATTGAGGTGTATATTTTTGACCTAGTTTGGCACCAGTGGAAGTGGTGCTATGGTGCCATCTTTGTTAGTATTCCTAAACTAAAATAAGTGTATGGAACATGAACTTAACCTCATTTATAAGTTATGTTGAACGTGCTTTGATTATTCTTCATCATTTTACTTTCAATTTGCAAGCAGTATATTCCTAATGGTTTATAGAAGGAAAAAGACTCATTACGGAGACACACATTTAAAAAGAAGATGGAGTACAAAGCGTAGAACGAAAGATCTCGATCTGGTAAAGTTACATCACATTTATGCTCTTAAATATAAACATGATAAATTTTCTTTTACTCCAGATCGATCAAGATATCCTGCCAGAGAATTCAAAGAAATTAATCAATCAGGAAGTTGACTTTGATAAACCAGGAGCTGCTCAACATTACTGTGTACATTGTGCCCGATATTTCATAAACATAACAGCTTTGGAAGATCATTTCAGAACCAAAGTTCACAAGCGAAGGCTTAAGGCTTTGGAATTGGAGCCTTACACTATTGAGGACTCACAACGTGCAGCTGGATTTGGCAGCTGGAAAGCTCCCGTTAAAAGGAAGATTGCTACAATCACCAAACAGGAAGAGGAATCTGATTCTGGGGAGTCTAGTAAAAGAATGAAAATTGATGACGATGATGATGGTGATTCATAAAAGGTTTAATTTTATTAATTTTAAGATTAGTTTGAGAAGATGGTATGGTTCAGCTTTGTATGTAACTGGAGACAAAGCTCAAAAAACTTTCGCAGTGCTAACCCCTGTAATAGATTTTGATAATCAGACTCAACATATACACAATTTAAAGCAGAATGTAGCAAGACGGCAATTAGAAATTGACATAGATCAAATTGTGAGAAGATGGAATTTTTTTCAGAATATCTGTGAGCGTAAAAAAAATCTGGAAACTACTAGATCGGAAATAGGTAAGGCTGTAGCAGATTTACTCAAAAATGAGGCTGCAAATCAGGAACAAATTGAAAAGTTGAAATTGCATGCCAGGGTTGTGAAGGATGATCTCAAAAACCTGAAAGAAACTTTTTATGAAATCGAGGAAAGTACAGTGTTGAAAGTTTTGGATCTCCCAAACACTCTGCATGAGAAAACACCTGAAAATGAAGCTGTAGTATATTGTAGCCCAGGTTCTGAAATTGCTAGTAAAATTTCTGAAAATCACATTAATATCGCTGAATCTCTGAGTTATATAAAATACATAAATCCTTCAGCTTGCTATTTGAAATCTGAGGGAGCTCTGTTTGAAATGAGTATTTTGAATTATTTTAGACAGTGCATGTTAAAGTCAGGTTATATTCAGTTTTCCAACACCAATTTTTGTCGCAGTGTAATTCTAGAAGGCTGCGGAGGCAGTTTCGATCAAAGGTCATTGTGTTTCACCTTAGAGGAAGACTCTGAGACTGATATAAATCGTTTACATCTTTGTGGTTCAGCTACAGTTTATCCTTTCATGGCATATTTTACAAAACATTCTATTCAGCAAACTAATCTTCCACTAAAGTATTTCTCACTCGGCAAAAAATATGCCCCTGTAAATAAAGACTTGCCTGCTAGTTTCTTCAATTTGAGTCAGCAGGCGGTTTTGAATGTTTTTATTGCTACCTTAGAAGAAGTCGAAGTATTAGATTCTATTATCAAAGAACTTTCCGAATTCTATGAGCACCTTGGATACCACTTTCGCTTGACTCTTTTACCAGCACATCAATTAGAGAAATCCGAGAGCCTCAGGCTATCCATTCAAATGTACTCCAATTATATACAGAGCTATGTAGAAGTAGGTAACGTTTCTCTTCATGAAAATTATTTGAGTAAACGTTTATTATTCACGTATAATTCCAACAAAAGCAGGAAGTTTCCTAAAATTATATCTGGTACATTGTTGAATGTACCCAAGATGTTGGGCTGTGTTTTGGAAAATAATTTTGTAAAGGGAACCACATTGTTGTCGGATGTTATAAAGAAACATTTGTTTGTATAATTGTTATGATTAAGTAAAACTTTTTCAACAGTAATTTATTTTATTTACATGTATGAAGTTGAGAACATATTCTGAATATTTGAAGTTTCACTTGTAATCTTTTGGTGTGAGTAACGGTATTTGAAAAAAAAAACTTTTATTGTCCAAACAGGCAATTACAGGACACCCAATTACAGGACACAGTATACAATTTTGGAATGAATATGTTGAATATAGGAAAGATATACATATTGTAATAGTATATATGCATCATTTGAAAATTCATACATTTATAATGATGTCTCAGAAAAATTTTGCTTCAATGATACCTGCAATTGGTTTTGAGGGGCTGTAGAGCCATATAGCCAAAATGCAGGATGAAGCAAAATGTAGCAAGTTGCAATGAGAAATTGAAGTCAATCAGTTGATCATGAGAATTCAATACTAACAAACAAGTTTCCGAGTTCTATGAGCACCTTGGATATACCTTTCAAGTAACTCAGTTACCAGCACAGCAGAAATATGAGAGGCTAAGGTAATCAATTCAATTGTGCTTCAATCATATATAGACTGTGAAGAAGTAGTGAACTTCTCTTTATGAAAATTATTCTAGTAAGTCTTTATCATTCACATATGACTCCAACAAGTTACTTTGCTAAGTGAAAGCTATCTTGAAACAACTACTTTCATATAAATATGAAAAAGTACTTTTGAAACAACTTTTTTCAATTAACATTGAATTACATGTACAAGAAAACACTTTTTTCTACTCCCTCCATTTTAAACGAATCATTACTTTGACAGCGGGTAGGTAATGACTTATTTAGAATACACATGTATTCTAAATCAATGGCGANTAACGTGTTAAATGATTCTAGAAATAGATTCTTGTTATTTTCAGCTTCTTGTATCAGAATTGTAAACAAGTAATTTTTGGTAATCTTATATTGTTTTTGAATGAGATTCATTTGTGTAGTATTTCGAGTGACAATGATTTATTTATTTCAATTGTGATTATGTGAGGTGTTAAGAAGAAACAGTTCATGTCTATGGAACAAAAAAACATTTCAGTCGAATTTATGAGTTCCTATTTCAATTCTATACAGCCCCACTCATCTCCGCACTCTTCTCTTGAATGCACATTTGTCTTTGTCTGCACACCCTTCACCTTCAGCTGAACCACTGAAACGACAAACTTTTTGACATACAAGAGTGAACAATGTTCGTGACTTTGTTTCGAACTGTTCGACATCCAATCGACATCCACTGGAAGAATGAGTCGGAGCGATCTTTTTTGAACGTATATTTTCATCGAAAATCGAATATAAAAGTACTAGAAAGGTGAATCTATCAATAGATATTATATTATTAGTGAGGTTAATATCCATTTAATTCTTGCGATGGTTACAGTTTACATTTTCTCTGAAATCTCAATTGACGGTGATACTAATAACAAATAATTGAGTGACAAGAGGTAGACATCAGAGACGAGATAACAGTTTGACATGACAAATTACCAACAATCAGTAGTTTTTATGTATAAATTACTATGTAAGAATGATTTTTCGTCGTAGATAAATACATACTCTTATGTCATGCGCATTGAACGGTAACAATTTGATTTGAACAGTTAAACTGTTCTGAAAAGCAACATGAAAAAAGTACCTAAACATCGGAAGGCATCTGAAAGTACTATATTTCAAATGTACTCAACCTAGTACTAAAAGGGCTACATTGGACACCACTATACTTGATAATGTCTATGGTCTCCACTAGCTATCAAAATAGCTGGTTTACGCAACATACCTCCAGCAAAGACCAAGAAATAAGAGTTCTACCATAACAAATCAACGAGAGCGTTTATGGAAAAACTATGCCTATAAAGTTGGCCTACATTTACCTAATGACTAAGAATCTAGGTCGAAACGAAAATGAGCCTGCCCCAAATTCAAATGTTTACAGTAATCATTTTCTACAGAAATTTCAAAAAGATTGTTTCATGTTTATATCTATTATAATAATTGGAATGAATGAAAAAGTGTTCAAATATTTTTTCACTAATATGGAATTATTTCCAGAAGTATACTTGAATATTTAATGAAGAATAATTGTCACTTATCTAACATGTTCTTGAACCGTTAAGAATATGTGTACATTTATATATTGTTTTTTATGTGAGTGGTGCTGCCACCTAGTAACATTAGTAAAGTAGTCATTCTGTGTATTATATTCTGTGACTGAGTAGTATAGATTGTTCTTTGGTCTTGTGACATTGACAGAGGTGACGTATTATTAGTATTTACCTGCAAGCGTTTAAGAAGGTAGATGACAGCTACAAGTAAAATAATTTATGAAAAGCAACACCGCCTTTGATCCAGTGCTGTTGAGACTTCTGACTAGGTATTTCTATCGCTAAAACATAATTGGTCGAATGACCTGTTGTTGAAAGAACTCCCGCTCTTGTAAGTGTTTTGTATACAGGACACAAGTATGTGTCTTCTGGTTGTTGATGATGTTCCTCTGGCTTCAACCAAACGACAGGCATTTCTGAAAAAACGAACTACGTTATGCTCACTACAATTTTGTATCAATTTCAGCGCCATTACGAGCACAAAACCTCAGTAAATATTTTTCGAGTTGGGTACTCATGTCCAAAACGAAAGTTTTTGAAAGCAAATTTTATCTAGGTGCCTTAGATTAACAATTTAGAACAAATTGGGGGAAGGAAAATCATTGACAAAATGGAATGAATTGCTCATCATAATAAAAAAGCAAAAATCTAAAAGTAATGAGACAGAAATTGAAAATTTATCATGGTTGTGCTCTTTTTCCAACCCCAAATAGATGGACTTCAAATTCTCCATTACTGCACATAAATTATTAATTTTTTCTATTTAACCAGTCATGCCTTTTCTTAACCCATGATTAATTCTTGATATAAATTCGTAGGTATATCTTTCTTTATAATGGCCGTTGAAATTTGTAAAATGACTACAGCACAAGCAAAGCATAAAACTTGCTACTATTACAAAATGACAATAATCTCTGCTTCCGTCAAACACGTCATGACAATAGAAATATTGGCAGAATTTGGAATCTGAAAACAATGGAAAATAGCTGGCAAAAAACAATTAGGGGCTAGCAACAGTTGAAGGGCAGATTGCCGATGCTTTTTTGCGGCTTCATAAAAAGGTGATGGGCGAAGTATGTCGAACCATTGCCATTAATGTGCTGATGATTCCAATGATCTGTTTTTCCGGTAATCAGCTGTCGCCCTCATGCTAACGACAACTCTCAGAAGTTGAGAAACTTGTGCGAGCTCAGGACTAACGAGGTCTTACCTTTTAACGTCCGACAATGAATCGACCATCAAGGATCAAGTTTTGTTGCGTAATTGTTGAATTGCTTCACTACTATAGTTGTTTTGTCTCACTAAGACTAAGTTTCGGTTAGTGAGGTGCAGTTACTTCCAAATATTTTTAGTTCTACTGAATAGTCAGTTGATTTCTAGAAAACTGAAACCTTGTTTTTACTACTCGGGTGGATGCTTACTTCAAGGATATTAAAACTCGAATTGATTTATTTTGTTACATTCAAAGAGTAGTCCCTGTATATGAAAACACTTCCCATTTCCGGATTGCCAAATGACTAAAAGTGTTCTTTGCTTTCTGCAGAAGTTCTGACTTGGGAATTTTATGCAACACAGTTTTGCACACATTTCTTCACTTGTTCATAAATAATTTTATGAAATGAAATACATAACCAATTGATGCAATAGAAGAAATGAAAGTTATAGTAGTTCAATATGTCTTACCGGTATATAGTTCTTTTGGGTTCGATTCATCCAGTACCATTTTGATATGGTTCCAACGTGCTCCTTCCAAAAACAAACCCCAAATACAACATCCATCTGAAGGTCTTTTTGTCACAGGAACATTCATCACCTGTTGGATTAATTGGGAAAGTTGTAATTGCATGAAAACGTAAGTGAAACTTTAACAAATTTTATTTTTCAGATATACTCAGTACTATTTGTTTTGTATTTGGTGGGTGCTAATAATGAAAAAGAATGGGAGACAATTTCAATTTTGAAAAAATCATGATTTGAAGCATGTGTTTCTATGAAATTACTCACTTCAAAAGCGAAATTTATGGTATCAATCGAAACTAAATATTTTCTGGCATAATTTTGAAGGGTCCCTGTTAGAAAAGCTTGAGGAAAATAGAATCCAGATATCCAAAATACTGGAGGAATGCCTTCATCGACCCATTTATTCAAAAATTGTACTCGTGCCCTAAGGTCTGTTACCCATGCACCTGAAAAAATAAAATATTGAGAAATCAGCACATTCTGGATTGTATGAATGCCATGAAAAGACAAAATTATTATTTAATGGGCAACAAAGCGAATTCAAAAAAATATTGACACACTGTCCGCGGTATCAAATGCCATAATCCAATTCCAGCTAGATTTAGATTGAAACAAAAAATGTGGGGTTCTTTTATTAGACCTAAAGAAAGTATTTAATACTGTGAACCATAAAATTCTCCTAAAAAATTTATTTATTGAATATGAAGCAATATGTCTATAAGGGCGACATAATCATTTCCAAAAAATATATGTGCAGTACTGCAAGGATTAGTACTTGGGCCTGTTTTGTTTCTTAAATATTTCAAAATTCTTATACTACAGTAAATTTGTTTGGTAAATTAAAAATGTTTGCTGATGACACCAGCTTAATTGATTGAGATTAATGTATTTTTGTTATTAATTATACCNATGAGCAAATACTCACCTAGAGGTTTGAGGGACGGGTAAGCTTTGCTGGCCCATAACGCAGGTACCATATTGCTGAATAGACTAAGGGTCATTTTTTCCAAAGCCTCAGACATCACCACCAGACCTTTCAACGCCTTCAAAAGTTCATTTAGCGTCGTCTTTATAACAAGCAGAAGTTTATTGTATCTTATAGCCTCTTGAATGATGACGGTATTCAAGGATTCTTCGTACTGAACAGGATATCTGAAATAGTCTAGGATTTATATAGGATTCATATTTTCTTTAATAGAACTGAAGTTAAACTGATGAGAATTCGTTACAAGGGGCGTCTGCTGCTTCAAATGAATGAGTATTTTTTTCTGTTGTACCAATTATTGGCAAAACCAGCAGGGAAAATGCTATCCTGCCGCATAACTAAAAATTGAAAACATTCGCTAAATATGTTAATTAAAATATATACGTAATCAATGGTAATTTGAAATTATTTGAAGATATTTTTATTCATAAAGTAAATTCGTGACTTGTTGGTTTCTTCCACAATTATTATTCTATTTAATGAGTTAGTCTAGCCAGTTGGATAGCGAGTTCCTTACATAAACCAACCGCTATTGTGAGTTCGAACTTTGCTCTGGTACAAGGTGGGTGATTTGTGAGCTATGTGTTGCTCCAAGTGTTCACTGTTCCGTGCCAGAATTCGCCTGTCAAAAAGTGAAACCTTGTCAATCTCTTCTTCCCTCTTGCTGGGAGACATCTGACTTGTCCATTTCTTCCAAGTCTTGTTCAGGTGTAGGTACTCTGAATGGGTAGTGTCTGTTTGTGAATATCAGGTATCAGGTAATTATCAGGTAATTTATTCAGGTAATTCAGGTAATTTACAGAGAAAATTTTACAAAAAGGGGAAAAAAGAAGAATGAGGTAATAAACCACTGTGAGTCACCTAAGCAAGCTTGTGATGTGATTCTCACAGCGGTATTACGATATATATATATAATTTATATAGTACAGTATTCAAACGTCTAATTTAACTTCTATAACATGTATTACATAGAATGGCGAGATATAGTTAGTAGCAACCCTNTTTTTTTTTGTATCAAGATGGAGTAGTAGAAAGCCAAAAACTTTCTTTCCCAAAAATTAATCACTCCTAAAAATATAACCCCTTCAATTCAAATGGTTTATATCCTATTTCATTATCATCCAATTTAAACTTATTGCTTATTTCTTATTGTAACTAAACTCCTAATAACTCGGAATAAGTTAAGCCACCTAAAATTACTTCAAAGTTTAAAAATCCCCACTGAGGCGAATATTCGAGTTGCAATGAAAGTACATACTCTCTAGTTCCAGAGAAAGTGACCATAGGCGGACCGTCAGAGGGTGCTGAGGGGTGAGATGGGAGACGACAGTTTCGCAATTCAACAAATATTCAAGTATCTAAGAGATCAATGTTAGGTTTTGACTCGTTTATGGAATTCTGAGTTCATTTTGCGAGGTTTGGCATATAAATTAGGTATTGATAACATGCCCCCTAATTGCTGAGGACGTCTTTGATGCGTAAATGGCTTCGATGACAATTTTCCAAATGATGAACATATCCTTGCGAAATGGCTTATTGTATGCAAAAATCATTTTATTCCCAATGGTAACGAGTTGGCAGGAGAATTCATCTGAGAAAGAGAACAGATAGATAATTTATTTGATGATATATGAAAAATATATGACGAGGAAAATATATAATATTTAAATAATATTCAAAAAATGAACAATGATAATGAAATTAAAAAAAATTAGAAACATTAATTCGCAAATGAAACAAGTTATCGTGACCTGAAATGACAAAGAATAATTAAATGGATCGAATAATGAGTTAAGGACAATAATATGTAAACAATACAAACAAATACAATCAACCGAAGACGATTATGGATACCAACAATAAAAATGCAAATGCAATACGCATATATACAGACAGCTCAAAAACCAAAGAAAGCTCATGATGTGGAGTGTAGTCCAGATCACTAAGTTTAAGGATTAAGTAAGGAATGGGAAAAAATACCAGCGTGGTTCAAACAGAACTGGCTGGTATCTCAATCGTCACAAAATAAATAACAAGGAAAGGAATTTCTGGCAAAAACATAACAATCTGCACTGATAGTAGACATGCCCTATTAGACTTGAACACACAACATGTTACCTCAGGGCTAGTACTAGAGTGCCACCAAGAGATTGCCAAATCCTCTTTAACTAAGGAAGCGGCTGGACTAAGAATAATCTACGCTTACATATTACAGGAATATTACATATTACAGGAATAATCTACGCTTAACAGTAGTTCTGACTGGCCACTGTCAACTAAGGTAAGACCTCCATAATATGGGGCTAGTGGACACACCTGTATGCAGGATTTGTGACTAGGAAGATGAACCTGTCAGGCATGTCCCATGCGAGTGTCCGGAGTTATCGTGAATAAGAGAGTATGTGTTCGGCGAGTCTTGGCCTACACCTGCCGATATAAAGGAGATGTCTCCTAGTGACCTGTTCACCTTCCTGGAAAAGACAGGATGAAGGACAACTCCTCGGGAGGATGTACAATGGGTCACATGTGGCCTCACACTCCCTACTCTACAGATACAGATAGGACATATAAGGTACCAGCTCTGACTAGGCTGCAGTACCTTCCGCCCTAGTTTCGCTGATCTGAAACCTCCCTTTCCAAATAGATTCTTCAACTCCTCGTCGCGTAATTCAAATAAATCCACTTTATCCATATGTAAATTACGAAAAAAACACGAGAACTGACCTCACGCCCCTCAGCGCGCTCTCGCGGCAAGAATTTTTGTGGTTGCCTTCATTACATTTATAGAGGATGCTGACTCCGAGATGGTTTTGCCAATACTGCATTTATAAGTTTTTTAAGTTTATAAAAATGTCAACATTTACTGAGTTCAGAGAACCGGATACTTATACTTCTTTTTGTTATTCCAATGTACACTGATCTATAGCTACAAGAAATCCGGTATACCCTCGATGTTCCTCAACATATTCTGGGGTCCCTAGCTGATCTTAGACTTTCGCTGATGGTTTTCGTTGGCCTAAAAATCTATGTAGCGTTGTGATTCTCGAGTATTCTCTCGATACGGTTCGTAATATTCTTCACATTGACAAGCTGATCTAGAGTTATTTTTTGAACGGGTCAACTCAAAACATTAAAATTTGGGATAATGAAATTAATGCATGACTACTTAATTTGAAGTGAAACTGACAAATGGAACTTTCAAGATGGCGACTGGGCACCATCTGTAAAAATTTAAATGGTATACCAATTAACTGAAAATGACCTTGATCGAAGAATAGAATTCTGCGAAATCATGACTGAAACCATTGCAAGGCACAATATTTGTTTTAGTGACGAATGTACATTTTTTTCAAACGGCAATGTTCACAGACAAAATTCCCGTTATTGGAGTGACACCAACCCTCACGTTTTCCGGGAGACACATACCCAGTATCCAGAAAAAAATAACGTTTGGGCATTAATATTGGGAAACCATATTGTAGTACCTCTATTGATCAAAATTTAACAGGGGAACTGTATTTGAATATACTGGAAACTACTGTTGACCCTCTCATCACTGAAATCGTTGAAGCGAATCCCAATGAATTCGATATGGATATTGTATTCCAACAAGATGGAACACCACAACATTAACCCAGACAAGTAAGAAACTATTTGGATACTACTTTTCCCGGTCGTTGGATTGGCCGTCGAGGTCCTACAGAATGGCCAGCCCGCACGCCAGATTTGACACCTTTGGACTTTTTTTATGAGGCTATTTGAAGCAAAAGGTGTACGAAACTGAACCTGCTTCAATATTGGATATACGGCAGAGAATAATGAATATTTGTAGATATATTGACGTTAATGTGTTCGAAAATGTTCGGCGTGAAATATCGGAAAGGCTGTTCATATGTCGAGAAGTTCAAGCTTATTACCTCATATTATGTAGTTGAATGACAATGTATTCAGGCAATTATTGAAAGCTTTGCCATTTTGTAGTAGTTGAAAATATTGACATTATATTCTAGGGTTGTGAAGCATTTGTCAGGAGCTTCAAAAAAATGTGTTACAAGGTCCCCCTTTCCATTTAATTTTTTTCCCTGATGACGCTCAGTCGCCATCTTGAAAGTTTCATCTGTCAATTTCACTTCAAAATAAAGTAGGTATTAATTTCATTATCCCAAATTTCAATTTTTTGAGTTGACTCGTTCAAAAAATAAAAGGGGGGGGGACATTGAAGAAATGCACTGTATATATCGATGGTTTAGCGCACATATGTGTTAAGTACACTTCTGGAGTAAAATGTGTTGAGTGTCTCCGAGTATATTAGTTGATATATCTTTGTTGTGCCCAAATGTGGTAATTGTAATGTGGTAAATTGTAAAATAATAGATAAGGCTAATTGTAGAATGAATTTAGTGTGGTATATCTCTATGGTTTACCTGTATGATATATCTGTATAGCATAAATAGCTTCACTTTCGCTGAGGTTCCAGTTTTATCTTCCTCTTGAAGATGATCACTTGGTGATCGAAACACGTGTTGAGGTGTTGAAAATAACAATTTGGTGTTGGGAAAAAACTCCAGAGATATTCATTACTACACCAAAGGTTCCAAACAGTACATCATAAGTAAAAATTGTTTACAAAGTCAAAGTCATCGCAGTCGAGTTGATTAAATGTTTTAAGTACCGATAAATAGACTCACAATCGTAGTAAGTGCACTTGACACCTGTGGTGTTTTAAGTTAGGATGTGGTTAGATACGCACTCTTGCTAGGTGATCACTTACATTTGTGTTTCTTATTTAGTGACAGTTACTGACAGAAACACAGTTTATAATGAGACCCCAGAAGAAAAAATACTTGCTGTATAAGCACACATTGATTCACATTTCATTATTACAAGCGTATACTCAATTTTTATAATTTCACCATCATGGCTGCAGCCAAAAATGATGGTTTTTGTCATTTACGGGATGAGTGCAATGGAAAAAAAAGGGAGTACTGAAGTGGCCAGTTTTATTTTGAAGTACATTTTTTATTTTTCTGATACTGTATCTCACATAGCATCTTTCAGATATAGATACATAGATCTACATAGATACGTTTGGAGGACAGAACCGTAATCAGTTCGTAACTGCAGTAATGTTGTATGCTGTCATGAGAAAGCACAATTTGGAAACGATTGATTTGAAATTATGGAAGCATTTCACTATT